GGCGCGAGTGTGCACGAATAGAATTCAGCTGATTTATGAAAAAAATTCTATGACAATGTTTTGAAAAACGAGCATATACGATGCATTTTTAACACTGGCAAGATATTTCATACACACGATTCCTTAAAAGAATTGTTATAACCGTAGAAGTTATGACTGCACAGCATAATTATTAATGTAGAACTTACATGTGTTTTAACTTGTGATACACTTACAGCACACGACAATACAACAGCCAACAAAGGATTTGCAAATGCATACGTAAACGTGACTTTTCAAATTGCTTTGAGATTTCACTAGCATAATCATAGCAGTGTGGTTAGATGAACGTAAAAATTCTCTATGCTGAGTATTTCAATAGTTTCGTGAACCACTATGCATGCAGACACATACTATTCACTGTATTCATTCCTAACCACAAAAAGGGTTAGGATTAAGATTGAATATATATATAATCACTCTTTTAAATAATGTTCATTATTCTAATTCGTGGACGTATTTGATAACATAAATACAAATCTACGAGCTATTAATTATAATCTTTATCTGACAACTTTCAGATGATACTTCCTCTTGCTGCTTCTTCCCGCCTAAGACAAATGCTCTTATGTTGCATCCTAATACTACAGATCAATATCGATTATAATCGAGAATTGCAACAAGTGTATTGTGTACTCACCGTTTGGTGAAAATTGGCGCTGTAATCTTTAAAATCATTGTGCGCGCATTTCGTATAAAGATATATTGTCTAACTTGGGATAAAAAATAAAAAGTTTTCCTTTTTTTATCGGCTCGTTTTAATTAATGAATGCGTCTCGTCTGTCGGAGGATAAATGATGTCGTAACTAAGTTCCGAGGACTGAGATTATTTTATTAAAGATTCCGAGTAAATGATCTTAAAAATCTTCCTATTTGAAAATTGATACTGTCGGAACGACAGTATCAAAAGTTAACTTTATACATGTTGATTTAACGCAGTAGAATGTGCATGAGAGATAAGAAATAAGGAAGTAAATTGTCTACGCTAATAGTACAGCGTTGAAGTAATCTAAAATACAAATGCTCGCAGTAAGGAAGTTCTTGACTAACGTGATCAATTTTAGAACTTAGATTATATATATTGGTCTAAGATGATTATTATCAAGATGTTCTAGAAACTTGAGGAAAACACAAGATAATGTATCAACACGTACAATGCGCAAACGTAAATTGAATTGAACAGAGGTTGAAGGTATTTTTAAATTTTTAAATCTCTAAATTCTCAAATTTTCTAATTTTCCAATTTTTAAAAATTCTATAATTGTATAATTATAAATTCGTTGATGCATAGAACCACAGTTCGTTACTTTCTCGACAGACACATCCGCAGGAGTTTACCTCTGTAAAAGTTATCGTTTTCATAATTCATCTCGTTCAAAGAGGGGATTCACACCAGGGGTTGACCGACCAATGAAAATATGTCCCTGTTACGAGAGGATCAACAAGGATTAGGCGGAAGATTTAGGATTGTCTCGTGGCTGCTATTCGCTAAACGTCTAATCCAAAAATATGATTATCTTTCTACCTAACGCGCCTTAATACACTAATACTCTATAACATATTTTTCAGATTTACTTTATAACATAACCTATACAATCATACCTAACAATCACCATTATATTGAATTCTTTGAACAATGACTTCAACTATATTTGCCAATGTCAAAAAATATTTTAAGTAAAATTCATATATAGTCAATTAATTTCAAAACACGAAACGAAATAAATAAGCAATATTGTCATTAAGAAATTTTCTTAAGACTTGCTGTTATCAGTTTATCTGCAAACACATTTTTCAACATTTGTCGTAGCAAACTTTCACCATATACCGCGTTAATCCAAATGGCTAAGAATTACTCGGATTCAAATATGGCGAAATACAAGGAAAGATACGTTCTCGCTACACAGTTTCACCATTAGTTTACGGTTCCCAAGGGTAAACGAAGGGTTGCGCATCGCGTTTATAAGGGCCTGTAACGGGGAGTTGGCCAATGTCGCATACTTCGAAGGGAGGC